AATTATCTCCAACGCGCGAGACTGTGTATCGGAAATTCTATAGATATGCTCATTTTAAAATTATTTGCGATATTGGTGTTGAATTGAATTTTATGGTTTAAGTGCGAAGAATATGATATTTAATAAATAAAGGTAACGCACAAAACGTTAAAAAAACGCCCCTTTGGGCGTAATGTAAAATTTGAGAGCTTTCAGACTTTTTTTTTTTTTAATTAAATTCAAAAGACGAAAGTACTACGAGTAGTAACTTTTTATATCATCAAGTTTTGTGATTAAGTTTGAAACATCAAAATCTTACACTTAGCAGAATGGCAACACAAACTATCCGTAAATAGCACACCTCCTTACAGCGCTATATATTGAAACCTCTATTTTGTATTCTCTATTCTATCTGTGTATCTCTATTTATTTTGTATTCTTTGTTCTTTTGTACCTTTATTCTATCTGTCTATTCTGTTTGAAAACTCTATTCTGGTCTGATTTCATCAGAAGAAAAGAAAAATTATGACAAGAGCCGTCGTCTTCCAAAAAATTTCAGCAAAACTATAGAATGTCCGAGTTATTATGATTAACACTTTTCGGATAAATTATTTTATTACTCGGATTTTTTTGCGATATTTATTCTACAACAAACAAATCTTAAAATAGAGAAAAAATACTATATTCTAAAAAAAGTTTATAAAGACTGTGTTTCGATATTTAGTACTGGATATATGCAAATAAATAAGTGTGAGCCACTATAAAACTTCAACTCTCAATTGTTGCTGTCCGTACAGCAAATGAAGACAATCTTTAATATCTTTACATCAAATTCCTCTAAAGAATGCATCTTAACACTAGAAAAGTCGAAATATTTTGGGGAAAATTATAATATTTCGAATACTTAAATCGACTAATTTAGAAAAGTTTCTACCGAGCAGTCTAGATAAAACAATTTCCTGCTCTGATTACTCTCAGACGATATAAAAAGGAAATGTTTAAATGCGTTCGAGAGCAGACGGCCTTGCGCTTTTTTGAATAGTGTAAAAGCAATTTTAATGATTAAAGCAACTCGAAAACGTCGTATTCGGTCTACTGCATACTTTCACAAACTTTAACTGCGGACGCATGCGAAATATGCTTTTGAAAAATACAGTTAAGAATGTTGTTAACGTTTTTTTAATAAGGGACTGTCGCCATTTTTTTCATTCTTTATTTTTCCTTTTTTTTATATCGCAATTATGTCGACTAGACGCCTGCGCCGTCAGACGTATAAAGTACCATGATAAAAAAGAAATATATATATATATATATATATAAAGATTTTAATAAGTCCAGTTAGAAGAGTTTCATAAAAATATTTAATGATTTTAATAATAAGCGAAAATTATTGCTTTTGGGATTACCCTAATTTAATCAGTCATTCCAGCCCAATGATTACAAATTAAAAATGCAAAAGAAATTGTACAATGAGCAGCAATAAATACTAGAGTGAATATGATTATTGGGGATGTTAAGACAACAAGAATCAGTGATAATCTTTATTATTAAATAAAATACAATTAAAAAAATGCATAAGCTTTTATTTAAAATGAATATCACGATTAATGCACTAAAAGGAGAAAAAATAATTTATCCCAAAGTTTATACAGTATATTCCGGTGTATAACACGCACCGGTCACCGGTGCCGGCTACCTGTTACCGGCCAGTGTTGCCAGAAATTTTTCAACTAAAGTAGCAAAAGCAGACTCAAATAATCGCAAATGACGTCAGAGATTTTTGTGATTTTTGTGTGTGATTTTTGTGACGTCATAGTACAGAGTGTATTCGATTCTTAGTCTTTTTTATAATGTATCTTAGCTTTAACGAAATTTTAAAACTATATTGCTTATTTTCAATTGTTTAAATATCCATTTCTTTTTTGATGAATTCTCATTTACTTTTAGTTTCTATTTTTAAATTAATTTCTGCATATCCCTTCTTAACAGATTCCTCACGTTTAGACTGTTAGCGTTTTTTGTACTAAATTTTTTGAGTTGGTTAATTTTTAGTCCAAAGGGGCTTTGTCTCACAGGGACTATTGTTTTCATTTTGCGATTTTGCGTTGTATCTGTATCAATCTTGCTTTTTAAGCAAGATTTTAAGAAAGGAGATGAGGACTTTGGTGAACGCCGTTTCCTCCAGTCCGTGAGAATTAATTATTGAAGCCTTGAAACAACAAACGTTTTTACAACATTTTATTAAACATTTACAAACATGCATGCCTTCTCCGAGATTCGAACCCGGGCCCTTCGGCACGGCAGTCAGGAACGCTAACCACTATACCGGTTGGGCGGCATAAACGTATGTATATTTCTTTCATTGTGATAAAACAACGGTACGTAGAGCCATCGAATTTTGAATTACGTAATCCTACTGCGAATATGGACATGTGAAGCCCAAATTTGAAATTTTGAATTTGTTTTATTATCGATTTTCATATTTTGTAAACAGTGTAACGAATTTTTGATTAACAAACTCATGGATTTCAAAGCGAGCAATGGCAACACTGTACAGGAAAGAGACATATTTTTATCTCCAGCGCGCGAGGACTGTGTATCTGAAATTCTAAAGATTATGCTCAATTTAAAACTATTTTGCGATACTGCTGTTGAGCTGAATTTTATGGTATAAGTGCGAAGAACGTGATATTTAATAAATAAAGGTTAGAGACAAAATGTTAAAAAAACGCCCCTTTGGACGTAATTTAAAATCTGAAACCATTCAAAAAAAAATTTTTTTTTCCCTTTATCGTGAACATTTTAATTGAGGAAGAGATTTCCATTATGTGTGGTTGATTTATTTGAGATTCTGATTACTTAAGAAAGCCTTGTTCCTTCACTGACAAATAATTGCCTTTCAAAAATACTCCAAAGCCAAAAAGGATTCATTGAAACTCCAAGTTGTTTAATAAAACACAGTTATTAGACGTAAGCACATCGAAACTCAATATGTGCATCTTAAATGCTTTCTCTTCTTATAACTCAAAAACACAGCATAAATATATTCTTAAAATAAAAAAGAATAGAACAGACTTAGCAATATTTTACCGTTGCCAGAACCTAACTACTAAAAAATCGCGCAGTTACAAACACGTCAAAAAATGAAATTCAGCACGCATTATTCAAAGATAAAAATAAAATATAAACAAAATAATAACTTACGTTTGTGAATATTTGAAAGATACAATTTTTCACATACTCCCACCTAAGTTAACTAAAGTATATAAAGTTATAAATATAGTTGCTAATATTAAAAAGTTTAAAAAAAAAACTTATTCAAAGTGACAGTTTTATGGGTGCTTTAATTTCTCGGCCACTGCCTAGTTGTCACAGGGTTCTCTACTTTTGTTTTAGCTCGATCAGGATAGTCCTCATTTAATACTTTGCCAGCAGTTTCTTGTTTCTCCTTTTCTCTTTTATTTTTTACTCCATTTTGTATTATTTCTGGTGTGGTTTCTAGTGCAGAAAGTTTCTAAAGGATGTAATTTTTAGGCAGCTGGGACCAGTTCTCCACTTTGAGTCCTTACAATAGCACGACGAACAATACCATCAACTCCTGGCAGTACTTTAACTATTCGACCAAGTGGCCAAAGTTGTCTTCTTTTATCGTCGTCTCCAATGAGAACTACGTCTCCTTCTTTTAGAGGGCTGAATTTTGTATGCCTTTGTTTTGTACATAATGCTTCCAAATATTTTTGACTAAATCTTTTTCTAAATGCTTCCCGTACTGTTTGAATATATTGTAACCTTCGCCGTAAACTATTTGAATTTGGATTCATTTTAAGGTTTGGTATGGTACTACTTTTCATTTCGTTGAGAAAATTTGCTGGTCTAAGAGGAGTAAGACTGGGATCAGATGATACTGTAGTTAAAGGCCTTTCATTTAAAATAGCCTCACAAATGCATAAAGCTGTAATCATTTCTTCGTTTCTTCGTAGCTTAAACTGGCTCTTCCTAGAGTTTTCTTTAAAATATTTTTCATCATTCCTACAAGTCCTTCCCACCAAGGAGCATTAGGGGGTATAAACTTCCAAGTTATGTGTTCTTCTCTTGCTTCAAGGAAAAGTTTCTCAAAATCAATTAACACAAAAGCACTGACAGCTCCTTTGAAATTAGTTCCATTATCACTGTATACGACTGAAGGTTTCCCTCTGCGACCAACAAAACGATGAAAATCTAGTAGAAATGTCTCCGTTGACATGGATGTCACTAATTCGAGGTGGGCGGCACAATACACCGCACAGGTGAAAACAGCAATCCAAGCTTTTGAGTTATCTCTTAGAATCACTGAGCCAGCAAAGTCCACTCCCGTTATCTGAAATGCAGCAGCGTCTTGAAATCTATCTGCTGGTGGTGGCGCAGTGAGAGGATTATTACTTTTAGTTGAAAATCGCTTGCAAATAATGCAAGATCTCAATACATGTTTAACGGTTCTCCTTCCGCAGAGAAGCCAGCATTTTTCTCTTTAAAGTATATGAGACACCAGCATGCCCATTTCTCCGGTGGTGTTCTAACACCAAACATTTCACAAGTGGATATTATCCTGGTAAAATTGCTGGCGTTTTAAATTTTTCATGATCATCTCTTCTGAGTACAGCTGATTTCAATCGTATAATTCCATTATCAAGGAATATGTCCAAAGATTGTAATCGTTTATCTCTTAACCCACCGAAGGATTCTTGTTGTATTAAATACACTATTTTTTTCTCTGCTTCATCGATATCATATACACTGAGATTCCCTCTTTTCTTTTTCTTGCTTATGTCGGCAATTGTAGACAAATCTCTTTATCCAACCCATAATATTTATTACTTTTTTATAATTCGCAAGATGAGAATTTAGGAAAGTGTTCACTCCAGCAGTCAACATAGAAGATACGATTTCTTCATTCGTTCTCTGTTTACTTCCTCTTCACATGTAATATCTTCAGTGACAGGCCACATTTCATCAGGTAGGTAGAGCCACGAAGGACCCTCCCATCATTTCAAAGACGCAAAATGTTGTGCAGAGCAACCTCTGCTAGGAAGATCTGCTGGATTCATTATATCGGGAACATATTTCCAGGTTTCTTTAGATGTCAAATCTAATACCTCTTTTACTCTATTATGAACGAAAACGCGCCACGAATCTTCTCTTCTTATACAAACGAGCACAGTCGTTGAGCCAGTCCAACAGTAAACCTTTTTAACTGGAAGATCTTTTAGTATGCTTGACAAAAGTCGTGCAGCGATTATGTCACCAAGAAGCTCCAATCGTGCAATGCTAGTTCTTCTTTTTCCAGACGGTGAAATTCTTGCTCTAGCCTGTATAAGTTGAATGTACACTGAGTTTTCTTTTTCAACACGAAGAAAGACTGCTGTCGCATATGCAAATTGACTTGCATCGCAAAACACATGTAAAGAATGCTTATCATTTACGTTCCCAAATTTGATCGATCTTGGGACTTTAGACAAAAAAGGTACATCTTTCATACATCCGTTTAAAAAATTCTTTCTTTGTATCTGCATCTACTTCCTGATCCCAGCTGATGTTTGTTTTCCATAAATGTTGCAAAAGAAGTTTGGGAATTAAGGTTATTGGACAAGCAATTTATCAAAAATTCTGTAAGCAGTAGCTAGAACAGTTCGTTTCGTTCTTTTCTTAGTACACAGATTCTCCAAACTGGATATATTCACTTGAAGAGTATTTTTTATTTTGTTCCATATTAATCCAAGAACATAACAGCTCCAAGGAGGAAGGGAGTACTTGAAACTCCGAACACAACTCTACAGTGACGATAAATTTTCAATTCATTGTTGCTAGTTATCCACAGGAATCTTAGAAAATTTCTATCATTTGGATAAAGGCTTATTTGGAGAAAAGCTTTTCGAATATCTGCAACGAAACCTATTTTGTAGAGGTAAGAGAAAGTCTTGAAGAATCTGCATTTTCCCATCCTCTCAAATCAAACTGTCTTTCTGCCATTACTTCTGAAGCCACTGTTATGAATGTTTGTAATTCAGATTCATCTTTCACACTCGTGACCCAATTGTCAACGTAAAAACTACTAAAGAAGTTTCTGTTTATTTTCTTTTGGATAAATGGATGTCGTTCAACGCATTGGCTTAGAACTGTCTGTAAATGATGCTGAATAACAGCTCCAAGGAAGGAGGGACTATTTGAAACTCCTGAACACAACTCTACAGTGACGACAAATTTTCAATTCATTGTTGCTATTTATCCTACAGGAAATCTTAGGAAATTTCTATCATTTTGGATAAAGGCTTATTTGGAAAAAAGAAAGCTTTCGAATATCTGCAACGACACCTATCTTGTCTAAACGAAATCTAGTAAAAATGGAAGGAATCAGTCCTATGAGGTTTGGGCCCTTGTCTAAATATTCATTGTGACTTTTCCCTTGCTGAAGCATCAAATACTGTTCGGATTCGTGTTGTACTGTTTTCTTTAACAATATGTCTGTGAGGCAGATAATGACAAGGAACATCTTTTTCACTCAATGGTACTTTTTCAAATGATACCTTCTTTCAACCAATCCTGAAATATATTTCCGTAATCTTCATACAGGCCATCAGCTTTTAATTTCTTCAATGTAGAATTCAGTCTTTTGAGAGATAAGTTACAGTTGTTTGGAAGTAGACGGTGACCTTCAATCCATGGTAGACTTACCATAAAGCGTTCGTTCTCGATTTTTACGGATATTTAAAAATGGGACTTAGCCGTTTCCTCAAGTTTGGATTTTGTTTTGCTTTCTGATGGGTCTCTGATACCTAAACTACATAATGTCCACAAATCTTTCATACAAGCATTTTTATTTAACATTGAAATTAAAGTTGTACTCTCACTGGACGACGCTGCTGGGATGCGACATATAATCGCACACCCTAGTTTTGTTTCAATGGCTGCAAGACCACTGTGTAGAAGTTTATAACCGCCAGTCATCAACTTGCCCAATATGTCATCTCCAATTAAAATTTCAATAGTCCCACATTCCTTATCATCAGGATAAAAGCCTAAGTCTGCAAGTTCTTTTAGACACAATTCCGATGCTACTAGTGGCATAGTATCACATATTACAGGTTGGCTTAATGCTTCGAAATGACAATTATATGTACACTTCATATTTGATAAATATATCATTAACAATAATGTTTATACACTTTAGTATTACTTCTTCCGAACAGTGAGTGTTGAAGGTATTCATTTCTTAAGGTTTTGTACCCCATCTCTTTAGCTGTTTTACTCGGAATGGTACTACTTTGGTAGACGGCTACTTTGGTAGACGGCTAGATGGTTGGCGCGGTTTTTACAGTCGTCAGCCATCTTGAAAAATGCTGTTTTTACGTATTTTACGCATATAGTAAAGTATTCGAAACTTTAAAAAAAAAAATAAATATCTTTAAAAATGATGGATTAATTTTTTTGTTGAAAACGTTGTTTTTTAAGATGGCTGGCAAATGTAAATAAATACATTTACTAAGACTATAAAATGCTAAAGTAAGTTAAATTATTACTTTCATATAATAGTATAAAAGCACCGCTATAAAAACATGCGCCAACATTTAATTGATAAAATATTGCTTAAATTGAATATCGAATTAAAACATCATACCAACTTAAAAGAATTAAAATATTACTTAAATACTTTAAAATAAGTTATAGGATTTAATTATTTAACATTAAAACATATGAGACAATAAATATCTCAGGAATTTTTAAAACTTGTATAATTTTAATAAAAATGAAGTATACAAGGAAGAAAAGAAAAATGTACTCACATATTTAACCTGTCGTATATTGATAAGTACTAAAAAAAAAAAAAAAAAAAAAGGGTCCGCTAACGATCTTCCTGTGTGTGATCCACATCTCTCACACTCATTGAAGAAGAAGCAATTAGCCAGGTTTCTCCAAAAATTAAAATAAATTTCCTCTGACGTATTAACAATTTATAAATAAATCTTTAATTAGGAAGCAGGTTTGGCCAAAATAAGGTCTCAAAAGCAATTTTTTATTCCGTACCAATAATTCTTGGTAATTACCAATAACAACATCATATTCGAAAGGACACAATCCATCGCTTTGAAATTGAGGAATTCGAAGAGAGATGAATAAAAAATTTTAAAATGGCGCGGTTAATGCACAAATATTCAGTAACCATCAAGGAGTGATTACATCCCGCATAGAATTAAAATTATTTAAATAATCATTCATATAAAATCATATTTAAAAAAAATGCAAAATTAATGTATTTAATATTAACACCCATAAAGAATGTTTAAAAATTAGATTAAATTTATAGATATTAAAACTAATACTTTTAAAATAATGTGACTCATTCATTAATCATTCACAAACATAAATTCCATAAATATAAACAAAATTTTTATTTCAAATAAAAATGGCAAATTAAATTCATTTTATTATTTGAGTCATAAATATATTTAAAACACGGAATTTATGCATAATAAAACGCATTATTTTTTAAATAAAATGACAACAAAGTATCGGTTACCATAAACAACTTATCTAGCAATGGGTTTACCATAAGTCGTATTGCTCGCCAAAAATCGCCAAAATCCGTGTAACCGTCTACCAAAGTAGCACCCTCGGAATGTAAGACCTATGAGAAGCAGAATCAATGATGGCTCGAGCTCTACGCTTTTTACCATTGCATCTTAAAATCACAATTAATGTTTGTAACATAACATTAGGTGCACTTGATACATTAGCAAGTGCTTGATCTCTCTCTAAATCAGTTTTAACAGACTTAGTTTCCTTTTTATTAGAATGTTGTGCTATATTTCTGCACAGAAGTACATGATGTCTTTTCCCACATAGTACGCAACTCGATTTCTCATTACATTTCATTACTCGATGTCCATGTCTCAGACAGAGAAAGCAGCAACGCGATTTCCCACAAAGCTTTCTCTCATTAGAGGATATTTTTTATATTCCTACCATCCCAAAAATTATGAGGATTGACAAAATATGCACAATTTTGCCCTTGGCTGATATAAAACAGTTCGAAAGTACTAGGCAAGGCAAGGACTGCCAAATTTTCGATTTATACTCCTGATTTTTTTTCAAAAGGATTTTAACACTGCATTTGTTTCATATTTCCTGGCTTCTTTTTGATCAAATGTTTGGGAAGCTAGAGATATTCGCTCTTCCGATTCTACTTCATCTTGAAGAAATTCAAGTAAATAATCTAGATTATTTTTTATGATTATTTTTGACTGGTCAGAATTTTCCCCGTTTTGTGGATTTAAATCTCTAGATCTACGATTAACTGCTCGGTAACGATCCCATTCTCTAAGTGTCTCATCAGGCAAAGAAGACTCAACAAGAGGAAGCATGGCTGCATATTTATCTCTAGTAACCCCTAGAACTTCCAAAGGGCTAATCTTTGGAATATGGTAACAGGTAGTTTGGCGACATTTTGGTAAGGCGATAAAAGTTACTAGCTAGGACTTTAGCAGCGTACATGGTTAAAGTCAAGAGTGTGCGCAATGCCATCTTTGTGCAATTCTGGGATTTTTTTTAAGTGAAAATAGGTCGACGTGTACATGGATGATACCGTGTATGTGCAATTACTAAAACGGCAAGCAGTTTGCGGATTCTGCATTTCTCCCAATTTCGCACCTAATCTTCGTAATGATTAAGCATTTTTCTTCCATAAAAGTTCTAGATAAGCGTAATTCGGCTAGAGGTTTGAAAAATGTTTGGGGAAAAAAAAAAAAAAAAAAAAAAACAAAAAAAAAAAAAAAAAAAAAAAACCGCCTTTATTCGTGCAAACAAAATGGCGTCCAAAACAAAACTAGCAGGTTGCTGTAGCAGGGTTGGTTGCCAAATTTTCGCCAAAAAATCGCTAAGTTACCATAATCCAAAGATTAACCCTTTCAAAGCACGAAGCTTAGATTCGAACTGGTCATAAAGTTTTCTTAAAGACCACCTGGTGCGTTGTGTTTTTGAAGTATTAAAGCATGGAGGTAAGAAAGGAAGGAGTAGCCAACCGGCACTTTTAGAAGTGAAGCACTGCTTCGAAGCTTCGGTTCATAGATGGGGTGTTCTTTGTTACATTCAGAAGCTCGCTTGACAGTGTTCTGATAGTATTCGACTTACAGTTCCAACAAATCGAAAAAATCACATTTTCACATGAAGAAACATTCTAGTGTGATTAGATAAATAGCAATTTATATAGTTTAGTGAATTTACGAAAAACACATCTTGGTTATTTTTCAATAACTAACAACAGCGATTTTGATTATGATTTGTTTTATAAAATTCTAAGCTTTGAACTACAAAATATAAATCTTACAAAATGTTATGCTGAAAAATGAAAAATACCTTACGGTACCTTTAAAATTGTATACGTCTTCGATACCCTTGATAGAGTATTCGCTACTTTTATTTTATGTTCAAACGTTAGAGCGGGCTTTACTGTTGCTCATTTAACTCATCATTTTAATTTATA